GTACAAAATTGCCCTTAATCTTGTGGTCTTAAATATGCCACGTGGAAAGTAAAAAGTAAAATGTTACCAAAAAAGGAAAGAGGTCATTCTTTTTGAAACTGACTAAAAAGGAAAGGAGGTCATTCTTTGTGAAACGGAGGGAGTACTATATATTTAATTTAATTGATATTTGATATTTTATGAGCTAATAAAAGAGATATTTAATGATGATAGGTTTACTTTTAGTTGTAATTAAGTTAATATCACCGAATTTAATTTCGTTAAAGGTCCAAAATGAATGATAGAAATTTGTGTGGCTGTAAATCATTTCATTAAGGGTAAAATCGACATTTTATAGTTAAATTGTTACTGAATATAGAAATGTGTCATTCTTTTTGGAACTGACTAAAAAGAAAAGTAAGTCACATAAATTGAGACAGATGGAGTATTTATGTACTCCCTCCGTTTCACAAAGAATGACCTGGTTTGACTTGGCACGGAGTTTAAGTAAATAAAGAAGACTTTTGAATCTTGTGGTCCTAAATTAAAGTTATGTCAAATGTACAAAATTGCCCTTAATCTTGTGGTCTTAAATATGCCACGTGGAAAGTAAAAAGTAAAATGTTACCAAAAAAGGAAAGAGGTCATTCTTTTTGAAACTGACTAAAAGGAAAGGAGGTCATTCTTTGTGAAACGGAGGGAGTAGTATAAAAAGCTTAACTTGAATAGAATTCATTGGTTAGTATGTGCAACACTATGGCAATCCACAGATGCTCTGCTTAACTAGTTGTTTGAATTATCAATGTATCTCAGTTCCAATCTTGATACTGATACACTTCTCTTCTGTTATATATTGTTTTTCACAGGAAAACACTTATTAAGGGAATGCTAAGAAAGAATCCGGAGCATCGTCCCAGTGTAAGCTTACCATGTCTTGCTCCTACTTTACTTGTGTCAGATTAATAATTCAATCATTTGACATCAACCTTTCCAGGCTTCCGAGCTCCTGAAGCACCCGTATTTGCGGCCGTATCTTGAGCAATACCGACCATCTTTTATTACTCATGTAGGAAACTATCCTGAAAAACCTCTCACTACTGGCCGTGACTCAAGAAAGAATATGGCAGAAAGCCAAAGTAGTACGAGTTCTTGTAGTGATAAAGATAGTTTGAAGTCAAAGGACAAAAACATCCAAAGCAGGGCTTTCAATTATGATTATAGGGGCACTGATGTTGATGTTGCATTTGTTGATGATGATATTGACTTTAGGCAACTTCATTCCTTTGACGAAGATCCTGGAGATGATACTTTTCCTGAAGATACAGATGACTTTGAATCTAAGAACATTATTGATGATGAGAGGAGATGTGATGCAGAAGCTAAGCAACCTAGAGCAATAAAAAATATTATGCTGGCTGTGAAAGAAGGAAAAATGAGAGAGCATAGTTCCCCAATGAGGGGCAACCGACCAAAGGTTGGTGCACAGAAAGCTAACGCTGAAGCACCACCAAAGGTCCCAAAACCAAGTTCAGTTGCTCCTTCTAAACCCAATGCAGAGACACCATCTCCCGGATCAACAAAGGCTGGATCTGATTCCACCAAAAAGAATCATGGACTGCCTGCTTTAAAGCATCAGGTAATTAGCTATCTATTCTTCTTATCTTCATTAGTATTTGCATATTGGTTTGTATGTGAAATTTTTAGTGTCCCTTTCCTTGCAGTTACCTGTCATCGATTCCAGTCCCAGGACTAAACCTAGACATGAGGGTATCTCCTCGCCTGCTCCTTCAAAGCATGTTGCTGAAGATGGATTTCCTGCAAAGCAAAGATTGCGAACACCTCCAAACTTTACTAGACGACCATCATTCCCCAGAAGGATGAAGCAAGTGGGGCATGATGTCTCAAATACTCCTAACAATAATGTTAAGTCTGGTTCCAATGACAATTCTCCATGTCTTGAAAGGACTCCTGATTCTACGCCTGATGGCTTCCATACACATGCTACAAAGAATTGTGTGCAACATTCTCGAAGAGTTTCATTTGGAGCTTCAAAAGAAACACAAGCAGAAAGTAGTGTTTCTGCTTGTTCTTCTGTATCAATTCAAGGATTTGAACTTTGTGACGATGCAACAACTCCTTTTATGAATTTGACGGAGCAGATGCTCCAAGGTCATGAAAGAGCTACTGAAACTGAAACCACGAGATCAAGGCCCTCCTGGTCTACCACTAACTCATCTCACTCGGAGGTTGCTTTTAGTTTAGGGGAAACCCATGATAATAAGAATTCTGAACCATGCTCCATCGAGAAGTATGACGAGCATCACATTGTGGATGTTGGTGCTTGCAATCAGAAATCAAATTCAACTATGGCCACTGACAGTGCCTTCCCTTGCTCCAAAGAAATGTCCGTCTTTGAAGATCATTCTACAGCTCGCAGACTTGATGTTATGACTGATCTTATGCCTCTATCAGGCCCCACTTCAACATCCTCTGGGGACGATAAGTTTATGGTGAAGGTGTCATCCTCAACAACAGAAATTGCCTCTCCCACTGCTCCCCCCGTTTCATTCAGCCAAACTAGTCTACCACACTCAGATGTCACTTCAAAATCCGATGACAATGACAAGTTTATTACAATGGAACTCTTGTGCACTCCCACTGAAAGTACAACTCCTTCACTCCTTCCTTTTTCACCTGCTCTAAATAATTTGTTGTCAGAGAAGGGAATTGCTCCGAAAACTATGGTTCTTGAAAAAACAGCTGCTTCTCAGCTTACACCAGCTTCTGATGATGTCATACATGTCATACGGCACAGTAGTTTCCGAGTGGGTAGTGAGCTTTCAGTGATGGACACCGTGGAGAGAAATGTTGATGTTGGGCAACCGATAAATGTGGTTAGAGATGAAGTTGATAATAACAGTCGAGATGCTGTTGGGGCTCCAAATGCTTCTACTTCTGCTGGATCAGCGATTCTTAAGTCCAATATCCCTGATGGTGTCCATAATAAGGAGATTGATGTAAGAAACCACAGCAGTCCTACTTCTTCAGCACAACGATTAGATTCTCCAGAACCAGCAGCAGAGGAGGAAAGGCCAGTAAAGGAAATGTTAGATGTCAAGTCTTTTAGACAGAGAGCAGATGCACTTGAAGGTCTACTTGAACTATCTGCTGACTTGCTGGAACAAGACAGATTAGAAGAGCTTGCTGTTGTTCTAAAACCATTCGGCAAGAACAAGGTCTCACCGAGGGAGACAGCTATCTGGTTGGCCAAGAGTATGAAAGGGATGATGCTTGAAGATTCTGTGCGAAATTCATGATCCATTATGCAGATTTGTATTTGCAGGTACTTGTTTTACAGTGTTGCTCACTTGCTATTATTTTTTCTTTTTGTCATTCAACTTCCTATTGAATTCGCGAAGAGAAGCAGTTAAAGAGGTGCTTTAACTTCCTTTTTCACCATTAGTATTTATGTAATTCATTCACTTTTGTAATTGTAAATAGATAGATAGAAACTTTGAATAAATCTTTGATGTGCAAAATGTAAGGATGTTTTGATATTTGATGGTGTGCACTATTACATTTATGATCATCATGTCATAACTCCTTCCTTCCTTCCTTCCTTCCATTATCTATAATGAATTATTGGGTATGACGAGAGGGAGTTGTTCGGATGGTAACCGTTCCTCATTTTCAATGTTCGGATGGTAACCATTCCTCATTTTCAATCATAAGGTTCTGAGTTTCAAGTCACCAAAGGATAAAAAACGTGAACAACTTTGGAATCTTGATTTTGTGAAACTATTTTTAGTGAAATTTTATTTTGTAGTTTAGCTAGAACTATCTTGTCTAGATTTTATTTTTGCATTAAAAAGTGTCAAATTTTTAAGTAGTATTGAATAAAGAAAATAACTTTTTTCCAAAAATCTCTTAGTATTGTTTTTAGATCTACTATATATAGAAATAAAAACATTTGATGATACGAATATTAAATTAAAAACAAACTTATAAAAGGCTACCGAACCAATTAACCGATTAAAAGCTATGAAAAAAATTACATAATGTAACTGATTATGCCCCATAATTACGCTTTCAGATAATTACAAAAAATATAGCTATATTTTACATTTTAGAGAAAAGACATAAAGACACAATCAAAGTTGTCCTGTATTTGCATAAAGACACCTTAACTTTCAAAGTGTTCTATCACCCCACAGAACTATTTAATATCGTTGTAAATGGGCCATTTTGACCCATTTCCTCGTCTGGGTTGTTACCACGCACATGAGGCGCGTCATTCCGTGTTTTTACTGCCATGGACCAATTTAAAAGTGCCACGTGTCATTTTCTTTCTTTATTATTAATTATATAATCAATTTATGTCATCTTCCCCAATTTTAAACCCAAAATAGCCCTAATTTTTTGATTCCATGGTTTTTTCCATAGCAAAATCAACCTGTAACAACGAAAAACTGTAATATCCTAACAATATCTTAACAATGGCAACAATAGGAGCTCGATTCCAACACTTTTACAAGAAAATTTTAATAATCCCTAAAATCATAATAATAAAAAAAAGAGAAGATTTTTATCATATGATGTAGAGCCCTAACATGTTAGACCTTCAATCTCCAAGAATCTTCACGAAGACACATAAACAACAAGATTATCAACAACAACACGACGAAAAAACTTTTCTATTTCTTTAGATTTTAGGGAAAGTTGAGAAATAAGAAAAGAAAAGGAGAAATGACTTTCTTCAAAGAACAGGGTCGGGTCGGATCTTTTCTCATCATAGGGAGTGCGCTACACGCGCCACTAAATAGACGAGGGAATGGGTCAAAATGGCCCATTTACAACGATATTAAATAGTTCTGTGGGGTGATAGGACACTTTGAAAGTTAAGGTGTCTTTATGCAAATACGGGACAACTTTGATTGTGTCTTTATGTCTTTACTCTACATTTTATAGTTGATACACGTATATCCTTATATGTGCATGAATACTGTATTAATGCTATCAACATGCCTGCTTGTATGTCAGGGATAATTTAGTAATTTTATGTTTTCTTTTTTTAATTTTTTTGTTTTATTACTTTATATAAATAATTTTTTTATGTAAAAACTGTTATAAATCATAATAATTAATAACTTAAAATATTCGAAAACATATAAAAAGTTTTTGTTAACTTTCAAAATTTCATCTATACCACATAAATTGGGAGAAATATAGATAGATAGATATTTTAAGTTGCTAATTATTGTGATTTATAGTACTTTTTATGTAATTTTTATATAATATATAGAGCAACTTTCACATATAGCAAACATAAAAATCATATTTGTATGTTATAGCTATAATTTGCATAATTGCGCTCCATAGCAAACATAAATATGTATATTTCGCTATACATACAAAAGAAAACAGTTGTATAATCTGTTTCTGTTTCGGTATACATATACAAAAAGATCTAATTTGTATAATTTGTGTTTGTATAAAGCGAGAAAGAGAGAAAAATAAAAGAAAACTGGGCAGAGGAAGATTGTATTTGTATAATCATAAGTGTATTGGATGAAAATATATGCATTTGTAATTGTATTTGTATATACAATTTTCTCTCGCTTTATACAAACACAAACACAATGTATACATTTGTGTTTTGTATAAAGTGAGAGTGGCGAGCGAGATCTGGGAGAATGGCAAGCGAGATCTGGGAGAGGGGAACAAAAATATATGTATATATACAATTTTCTCTCGCTTTATACAAACACAAACACATTTTATACATTTGTGTTTGTATAAAGTGAGAGAGGCGAGGGAGACTGCCAGCGAGAACGAGAGTGGCGAGCGAGATTCACAGAGGCGAAATAGCAGCAGTTTGCTATGGGGTACAATTAAATCAAACTATGGTTATAACATTTAATTTGAATTAATAGTTTGTTATTATATACAATTTTCCCTAATATATATTACTCGCTTTGTCCTGATTTGAGTTAATATCTCAAAAGGCCACTCAACTTTGAGATTTCATGTAACAAAGTCACTAAACTTTGTTTTGTATTAATAAAATCACTCAACTTAAACCTTTGTTTCAATAAAATCATTCAACTTAAACCTTTGTTTCAATAAAATCATTCAACTTAAACCTTTGTTTCAATAAAATCATTCAACTTAAACCTTTGTTTCAATAAAATCATTCAACTTAAACCTTTGTTTCAATAAAATCATTCAACTTAAACCTTTGTTTCAATAAAATCATTCAACTTAAACCTTTGTTTCAATAAAATCATTCAACTTAAACCTTTGTTTCAATAAAATCATTCAACTTAAACCTTTGTTTCAATAAAATCATTCAACTAAATTTATCATTTAAAAAATTGACATAGCAAAATAAATTATTTTTATGTCATAGAAATATGAACTCCACAATGAAAAAAATTAAAGAAAAATCATTAAAAATAACTTATGAATAAACTTAATTAGTGAAATAAATACTATAGTATTATTATGCATTTAAGAGTTAAAATGTATGATGATGAACATTATTCTAACAATAAATATTAAGTATGATATTATCATTGGCTTAATGACTGCTACAATTTTTTTTTGGTAAGACATCAATTTTTTAATAACCCAGTGACGGCAACAATTTAATGTTACGGTTATTAAGCCAATGGTTATATCATTTTTTATATGACAATGATATATCCTACAATTTTTATTAATGACAATTTTTTACGGTTTTTTTTTTTTTTAGAAAAACATCCATTATAATACATTTTAAATTTTAAATTTAAATATATTGTAATATCATAATATATTTTTCACTAATTAAGTTTGTTCTTAATTTTTTCTTATGAGTTTTCTTTAATTTTATTTATTTGTGGAGTTCATATTACATGGCATAAAAACAATAAATTTAGTTGAGTGATTTTAGTGATACAAAGGCCTAAGATGAATGATTTTATTGATACAAAATTAAATTCAATGACTTTACCAGATAAATTCTGAAAGTTGAGTGACCTTTTGAGATATTAACTCGTCCTGATTTATGTGATACAAATGAAATTTCAAAAGTCAACCAATTTTTTTATAAGTTCTTTTTGATATTTAACTTGTTAATTATTGTGATTTACAATATATTTACGTAAAATATATTTCATATGAAAATTACGTAAAACATACTATAAATAAAAATAAGGCAAAAGGCATAAATTGCCCCCTAAACGTATACCCAAAAGTCATTTACACACTTTAACTAATGGGGTGACCTATTACACACCTTAAATACATAAAAGTATATTTATTTCCCCCTTCCGTCACCCAACCCAGGGCGCGTTTCGCTCCACATAGTTGAGCGCGTCAACACGCTAATAAAGTCATTTTTATTTATTTTTTTAATTAAAAAAATCTAACCCAACGGTTATATTCCCATTCCCTTCACATAACCCACCCACCCGACCCTAATGAACAAAAACCCTAAATTTTCACCCAAAAATCTGAATCAAGAACCCTAAATTCAAACATAGTTCAAAATTCCTTCTTTTGAATCAA